CATTGTACAGTTTATCAGTTGTATATAGTATGAAATATTTCTATAAAATAGTCACTTAGTCAGGAGTCGTCAATTCACTCAATGGTAGGAACAGTTTTGGTTGTAGTAAGCACACAAAAACTCTTAGGAATGTGTATCCATCCTACCCAGTTACATTGTTGAAGATACATCAACAGGGATATATGAGTGTACTACTGAATGTATTCAGTAAGCAAACAGTGTCTATCTGTTGGTCCACACAACTCACCAGTCTGCCCAGCTGCTTACTGCCAAAAGCTGAGCTGCTGCTGTCTTTCATGGAGAAAGCCACCTGGTAGAGCAGCTTCTTCAGCCCATCCAAACCCTCCAGGGTCTTACAGGACACTTCACTGAGTACCAGACACACACATACACACTTGAATACACTATACAGACATTCCTGTAAGGCAGGAAGCAACAGTCCAGCTTCTTATTATGGATACAAACAAACAATAAAAAAGAAGATGTGCGCTTACTGCAGGTGTTTGCAGGTGATGTCTGGGTAACCGCTGGCTCGAGCCCCTGACGGCGATCGGCAAAGAGCCAGAACGTAAGCCCTCAGCGTGGCCAGTCTCTCAGTGCGAAACTTGGTGTCGATGAGATCCAGATGTGTCCCCACAACCACCACTGCAGAGTTGGGTGCCCGCGCCTGTAGGCCACAATACACACAAACTAACTGGAGGTGTATTAAGGAAAAATGGATTAGCGTAAGAAAGAATACTAGATGAAAGAGGGTACTGTACACTTCTTCCAGACTTTTCGACAGTACTGTGTCTTCATCAGTCTAAATGAACAAAGATGTGAGGCAAACACATAAAAATACACAGATTGGATTTGTAAGCTTTGCATATCAATCAATACACATAAAATGTTTTTATTGTAACTATAAAACGGCTTGTTGTTTTGGTTCTCTCATTTCAAGAGTACACTGACCGATTTGCAGCGTAACATTATGTTATATAAGCGTTTAATAAGTTGTATGGCACAATGTCATTCATCAAACCACTCTGAAAGTGATCCAAATGATATCAGTCGCCACATTCTCAGAACTGACACATACAGTACAGGCCCTGATCAGCAGCCTGCGGGTTAGGTAGGTCCAAAGTAAAAACTCGGGATTAAAATGGGTCTGGGAGACAAATTGACAGGATCACTCCAAAATGAGACGGACAATTACAAAAGTCATATACTAAGTTACAACAGAAGAAAGTTTCACTCTGGTCAGCCTCTGAAACGAATCCAGGCGTAATTAATGCTGTAAAACTAAACACAGAGATCAGCAGGATGCCAAAGAGAGGCGTTATTAAATGTTACAGTCAGTAATTACTCTTCAGTGAACCATTCCAGTGAAATGATGCAAGCGTTTTCAACATCTTCCACGTCATCACTCCTCCAATAAATGACATCCATCTGACTGCGGTTGCTTTATGTGGTCTGACAACCAAAAAGATTTTCCTTTAAGCCAGAATGCTCCTCCCTCCTACTGGAAACTGGAACACCATGTCTTCGTTCGGCACCGACAACTTCTCACAGTCACACCCGTCACTTTCTGACCCACTCACACTAAACTACAGCTGGAATAAGGTTCTCACTGGTACCGCGGAAGTGTGTGTGTGCGTGAGCTAGGTTTCACCTCTATGTTGAGCAGCCATGTCTGCAGGTTGGCCACAGCCTCCTCCCCCATAGCCAGGTTCCAGATCACCACGTACAGCGCCTTATCAGTGAAGAAACACTGGTTCACCGTGGACATGCTGGCCTGGCCGCCGATGTCCCACACGTTAAACGCCACCCACTCTTTCTGTGTGCAATAAGACGAGAGCTAGGTCAGCTCTAAAGAAGGGACAGGAGAGTGAAGATGAGTCAGGAATAGAAGAAAATAGTCTGAGGTGACTCAGTATTTATAAAATATCAAACAGTCATCATTAAATATCCACTCCCTGATTCTGTTATAGTTTCCAACCGACAGATCCACAGACCTCACTGTGAATAGTCTTTATTTGGAACTACTTTCAGTCGAAAAAGTAATCCCTGTTTCAGGAATGAGGTGTTGCTGTTGAATTTTGAAATCTTCAAAATTACATTCATCATTGTAATGATAATAATGAAATAATAATAAAGCACAATTTAGCACTTCCTTTTTCATTTCACACCCATTTCTACCCTTCTATTTTTCAATTCACATGCATTTTCATCACCTCCATTTTTATCAATTTATTTATGTTACTTCCACCTCCAGAGATAGCACTAGAGTGAAAAGGCAAGGCTTTGAGGATGAGGAGAATCTTCTCCTTGGTCTAAAAATATCTGGTCTTATTGGGTTATTAGGGTCGTCGTACTGTATACCATACATAATATTTATTTGATTGATTTATTTTACAACTGATGTGAACTGGCCTTATAAAAACACACTTGTGCATTTTTAAACTTGCAACAGCTGAATAAATTCATTCTTCTTCAATTACTTCATTCTTAAGTACATTTTTTGGGAGGGAGGTGGTAGTGTGGTGTAGAGCATGTTTTTTCAGTTGGTGGGTCGACTATTATGGGTCTCGGAGTCTGTGGTGAAAAGAAATCTTAAATGCTTAGTTATCTGATGTCTGACTTTTATTTTGATGGTAAAGCTTCCACAAAACTGCCTTCACTTTAACAGACAGACGAAGCCAGCAATGTTGCATTTTCCATGTCTGACAAAAGGGCTTTAGCCAGCAACATATGTTGCTTTTGTGTCCTCTCTCACTGCTGATGTTCAGTTCAGTTCATTTTTTAAAACAGCAACAACAAGCAGGGACAAACATTGGGGGATTTGAGGAAGCTATAGAGTACTTTTTTTTTAATACAGGCCTAAAAAACAACCCCAAACAATGTTTTTAAAGAGTTTTTCACAGACATGACAGGAAATGAGGGGGAGAGATGCAACAAAGGTCCCTGGCTGGAGGGGCGCCCGCAAAAAATGTCAAACTTTTAAGCTGCATGATTTTTCTTTCCTCTGCTCTCATTTGAGGGAAAACGAAACAGAAATAGAGAAAGAAAAGAGAAATATACACTTTATATTGATTGTCTGGCAGTGCATTAACCAGGTGGAATACTATTACTGGTTCTCCAACTACATATTGACTAAAAAGCCCCAAAAATCCAACAGCTAATTAAATTGAATTTAAAGGACTGGATTTTAAACTAGTTTTCAAAGTAGGATCTTACAGATAGATATAATACTGCATACTGTAGTTTTTCAAAAACCAGTGTTTATGGTCAATGTATAGTATATATGCTGTCTGTGTTTTCCTCACGCTGTTTTTGCCGCAGTTAGGTTTGTCCAGCTCCCAGGTGGAGGTGGAGATGCTGCATTCTGATGGGGTGAAGGGGGACGCCTTGCCGGTCTGTAGAACCTCCAGAAGGGCCGTCTTCCCCTGCCGCGGTGGACCGATCACAAGCATCTTCAGCAGTTTATACGGCTCTGCCTTTCGAAGGTGTGCCCGGAGGAAGGCCAGGACAGACACAGGACCTGAAAAATCAGAGGTCAAGATTTGGTTTTGAGGGTGTTGGGATTTATAGACAGCTGCTAACAAAGTTAGTTGTTCTTCTTGTTCCTGCAGTGCGATATTTAAATGATGTTCAGAGTTTGGTCCAGTATGCAACTT